CAGGACTGCCTCTACCCCGAAAGTTGCAGAGTCAGCAGCAAAAGCAGGATGATTAGTTATCACTCAGACTTCAAAAGTGTGTCCAACAGGCTAGACAGAAATGACAGAAACATTAAAAGAGACACAGCTGAGAAAGAGAGAAAACAAGRGCAGGATCAGACCAAGGAGCTGATGGTATCTAGGAGAGTTAGTACATAATATTAGATTTTACATAGCTTTTCCTTCTAGGGTACCTTAACCTGTGTTCATGACTATTTTAAAATCTCTAGAAGCTCTGTAACTTCAGAAGATGAAAAATAACAGAAAGAAAAAAAAATAAAGGAGTAAACAGGTTCCTATTTTCCTGTTTCATTTCAGGCAGACATAAAGGGGGACAATAAATCTGCTGCCCCTTCAGGACATAAAATAGGATGTTAGCTCCAGTAGTCTCTATGCCACAGCAGCTTCAGGAACAATTGCCAGCCTTGTTTCCTCCCCTGGCATTTCTGTCCCTGTGGCTGGCTCAGCAGGAGCCCGTGGACTGGCTGTATGGCACCAGGGCACACGGCCACTGCTGTGCCCCAGGGACACTGAAGTGTGCACCCTGTCACACTGACACTGTGCTGCCCTCTCCAGCACTGCAGCCCCTGCCAAGGCCCCCTGCACAGTTCTTTGGCACAGAGTTCCCTCACCCCCAGGGTGGGAAAGGGTTGGACGATGGGCATTTTAATTAATCAGACATCAAGAGGCTGCATTCAGTGCTAATAATTTACATASATCTAATTAGGTCCTGGAGAACTCGCCCTGTGCCACCATTACCAGGGGGCAACTTTTCTATAAGGGGATCTGTAAAGGCTGTGGTTTGCTCTCCAATTCCTCCCAAGGTGGCCTTGCCATGAAWGCAATCCTTGTGAGGAGCCATTAGTGACTGACCCGTGATGCTCCACCTGGATTCAATCCACTGCATTTTCCCCATTAGTTAGCGAGGTTTCTCAAGCAGGTGGAAGACCYCCTCCCACTAGATCAGAACTCTGCTGCAGCAGCAAACTGCTGTGGAATGCTGTGGCCTAATTAAGGCAATGTTAACAAGCAGCAGGAGCACACGGCTGTGAAWTCTCATTGGAGTGGAACAGAAGTTGTTGATTCTGGTTACGTAGTGTCTAAGAATCAGCTGTAAAATTCACAGCCATTTAACTTGCACCTGTTCTCAGATGAAAGAACAGGGCCTTTTGGCTCAATTTTGGTGCCCTGCATCTCTGAGCAGGATTTGGCCCTTGGTACTTACTAGGCTCTGCAAGCAATAGGTGTCATGTGTGCTGAAAGTCCTGCAATTCGATTTCTTGAATATAAAAATCACAGAAAGCATGCCAGCAGCTATGGGCAATGTAGAATGCCAGAGCCTCTAGATGTAACAGCAAAGCCCACCTACTGATCTGTGATCTGATGTGTGCTCTCCCTGAAGGAGAGTTGAAAAAAKACTGTAGGTGGATACCAGATCTGTTTCTCTCATGGTCACAGATGGTGGGGAAGAGGTTGTGGTCCCTGCTCCTCTCGTTTCAGGCAGAAGGGGAGCTCAGAGGTCGTCACTTGAAGGCAAACATCAGGGTCCAGCTGTGCCACAGCCATCAGGGCACAATCATTTCCTAGATGTCAGAAGATGAAACACGAGGTGCAGTGCTGCCAATCACCAGGACACCATGCTGTTCCCCAGTTTAAATTCTTGAGAACAGACCTGGCAGCAGGGAAGCATCTCTAGCCCAGCTTCTAAGAAAATTGCCTGCTCTGTGTCCCAGCCTGCAGTGCCCTGCTTTGCTGTGGAGGACGGCCAAATGGAGAGCTGCTCTTAGAATCTCACAGGGCAGCAGCCAGGCCAGGATCACCGTGAGTGTGATCTGTGGCTGTGCCATCAGCACACAGCACTCCAGCAGCAGTGAGAGCACACAGACCTGTGCCTCATCCACTGAGCTGTRTCCCTGCTAAGGGATCCCGCTGGCAGCGGTTCCTCTGCACTGCTCTTAGAGTCTCCRGACACTTTTACTGGGCCAGATCTGGTGCCATCGGGCTTAGATCAGACAACGACACTAAAAAGGCTGAAAACCACAACCGTCACTTCTGGTATTGTGTTTGCCCAGGTAAAACATTTGGTTTTGTATCCATTAACTCTTTCCCCAGACGAAATTAAAGCAATTAGAGCCCAACTTTATGCGGCTGTGTACAAGGGAGGGCGGGGTTGAGGTCTGTGCTCGGTTTTTGTGGCTGCAGAGCGGGGCAGGCCGTGCCGGGGCAGTGCTGAGGGCCGAGCGGCTCCATCCCGGGGCTGCAGGTGGGGAAGGGACGCTGGCACTGCCAGCCGGGGATGGCCAGGACGCTGTGACCGCAGCTGGGGATGCCAGGGATGCTGTGACTCCGGTCGGGCATGCCCGGAGCGCTGTGACCGCAGCCGGGACCGGACGCTGTCCCACTGTCCCGCTGTCCCCAGCACCGGCCCGGTCTGCGCCACCTGGCGGGCACCGGGAGCGGCGGGGCCGCGGCACCGATGGGACCCTCGCCTTTCCAGCCTCCTCTTTCATGTCCGTGCTCGCCCTGATGCCATCAGCCCGCGCTCTAAAGGCCGGCACGCTGAGCCATCCGTGCCCCCTTTCTTCGCAGCCGCCAAAGTGCCCGATTCCCACATCCCTTTCCTTAAAGTCTCGCCTAAATCACGTTTCCCCGTCCATTTCCAGGGCTCTCCCATCCTCGGTTTGGGGGTCYAAGCTCTCAGCTGAGGCATGGAACCACATCTTTGGTGATGTGACAAGATCATGAACAGCCCCTTCCCATGCCAGAGCTCAAGGTTAGGACACCTGGGCAGTCTGTCCCTTTCCAGTCAATCTTCTACTGGGCCAAAGGCAGTGAAAATTACATGTCCCACATTTCTGTACTGATAAATTCTCTTTCAGATAGTATATATTTAGAGTGTTTGAAGAGTATTCTGCAAATAACTCTCACTAATAAATATAAAAGAAAAACGAAATCTGAATTAATTAAAATAGATGGCATGAAATGTTAGTGTCTCATTTCCTTCAAACACATTCAGGAGAGGGTACCAGCAAAAAAAGAACCTTTTGGTGCAAGTGCTTCTCTTCATTCCAGGTGACTTGATATTTCAGGTGAACTGAATTATGCCCAATTAGGCATCTATAGCAGACAGTAAAAATATATCAAAATCAGATGCTGTTGTACTAAAATCGCACAGTATATGCAGAGCTTTCACTGACATGATTTCTACGTGACTCTCTGAATATCATCATGATCAATATGTAAAAAAACCATCAGGAATAAATCAGCATAKCCACTGAAGTCCAAAAGAGCCTCTTGCAACAAGCCATCATGYTTAAGGTTGTTGCAGTGTTTTCCCCGTTATCTCCTGAGCTCAGTTACTGACAGCTCCCAGCAGAGACCTTGCTCCCACCAGTCTGCTGGAGCTGATCCAGCTGACTGTTCTGCTGTGGGAAGGAACACACCAGGCTCCAGCTTCAACAGAGCACAACTCTTCCACCAACCCCACGGGATTTGGAATGGGATGGCTCCAAATTCTCTGAGCACCAACCCTTTAGTGCTGTAACTTCAGCTGGCCTTTGATGAATGCTGGTGAGCAACAGGGGGGTCCAGCCCCCTGGGAACAGGGAATGCCAGCACCATCCATTCCCATAAAGGAATGCCTGACACACAGAACCGGGGGAAAGCACCCTGAGACAGCTGCCTGTCATAGCAAACACCATCTCTGTCCCTTGCTCTGCTCTTCTTTCCAAATTGAATAGCAAGAGAACTWCCTCACACTCCCACACCCTGAAAAAAAATACTTGGGTCTTGTTCAAATAGAAACCTGGGTTGCCTGGGYTGGGTCCAACATTAATCCAATTAACAGAAAGAACAGAGATGAAACAAACACAGGAAAAGTTGCTTGTTTTCTAAATAAGTCTAAATTTATTCATTATCCTAGTTAAAAAAAAGTTTGGATTACAAGTGTCTGAACAGTATAAAAGTACAAAACAGGTTCCATAGATTTCTAATACATTAATACAAAGTGCATGACTACTCATTTTGCATTACTACCGGGAATGAGAGAGGTGGGAGGGAGTAGGGGAAGCAGTTGGCGGTTGAAATCTAGCAATAAATAAATAAATACAGAAGAGATGATCCATATCAGAGCACATCCTACACCAACACTGCAGCCTTCTTAGGTGTACAGAATTAATGATGCTGAAAACACAATTAATTCACTAATTCACATGAAATAAGTGTCTGCGAAAACAGCGAGGACTCTTGCTCAAGCCCTTGTTAGACATGATCAACCTAGTTAACATGATCAACCTAGTTATGCCTTTATACAATCAAGTATTCATTATATCTATGGCTGGACTCAATGGGCTTAGGGTCTTTTCCAACCTGAACAATTCCATTTGGTTGAGGATGAAAGCAAGGTAAGCAGCTTTGTCCTCCCTTAAGAACCTCAGAGTTTAGGAAAAGCAAAATGAGTCCAAGGAAAGCTCTAAGCTGTAAGGCTGTGATAAGTCAAAGCCCTGTTTCCCCTGATTTTCCTTCTCTCCAGAGGTTGGCTTACCCAACAGGAGAGGAAAAAAGAAAGAAAAAAAAAAGCTTTGAGGGTAGAGGCTCCTCTTAAAACCTGTRTATCTTTCCCTATCTATATTTTCATTTGCTAAGTATTCCCATTTCAGGAACTGAGACTACATGGAAATCCAGTCCTAAACCCTACCCACCACAGTATTATGCCAATGATTCTCACAAAAAAGGAAAGCTTAGAATTCATAGAATATGCTGAGTTGAAGGGACCCATCAGGATCAATTCCAACTCCTGGCCCTACACAGGACACCCCAAGAATCACACCATGTAGTAATCCACTGTAGGATATCCCAAAAGAGTAAAAGCAAAAAAAAAAA